GAAGCAAGCGCGGCCGGGGGAGGACGCTGCCCCAGCTGTTTCCTTTGGCAGCCATGAGCCAGCAGGCTGCGCTGGCCAGCGTCTGGTGCATGGGGGCTGCTCTGGGGGCGTCTCTCACTTTCCTGTGGAGAGGGAGCTTTTTGGTGGCTGTAGGCACCTCCCAGGGTAGCCTTTGGGGAGAGGGGTTGGCAGTCAGTCAGGAGAGAGCCCCAGCTCCCAAGCCCTCTTGCCCCTTTTCCCCCTCCGCAGCTAGTCCCATTGGGCTGAAGGCGTCTGGCTGGAGGTGCCGTGAGGCTCCTGGGGGCTGCGGCAAGCACGGGGCCCGACAGGCGTGCCCACCTCGATGGAGGTGTGTCTCGACCGAGTGCCCAGCACAGCTCTCCAGGGAGTCAGCCTGCACCTGGCAGCCTCAGGCGATGTGCAGCCACTGGCAGAAATGCTTCCCATTAGGAGCTGTTAGGAAGGGAGAGACAGGCCAGAAAAACTCCTAGAAATCCGTGGGACGCCCGCACCTTGAGTCTTGTGGGCAGACCTGGTCGCCCCGTCCCAGAAAACACGTGGGAATTCGAAAAGGGCAACGGAAACGACCGGGGGACGGAACAGTGTCCGTATGAGGAGAGATTGGCAAGACTGGGCCTTTTCAGCACAGAAAAGAGATGACTGATTTGTAACATAAGAAGCGGGGGGCAGCCAATGAAATTCATAGGCAGCAGGTCTAACAAAGCCCCCGTTTTCACAGAGCACACAGACAACCTGTGGAACTCACTGCAGGGACATTGTGACGGCCAAAACTATAATAGGGTTGCTCCAGTCTGGCCAGACCAACTGCACCGCAGGCGCTCACCTGTGTCGCCAGCCACGTGCTTGTGCCCCATTTCCACTGCAGTCCCTCCGCGACCTTGGGACAGGCAGCTGGGCACTGACTGGCCTCTGCTGGGGGCGGTGCTGCGGGCAGAGGAGGTGCCCCTTTAGCCACTCCCTGTCTCCCCTGCAGGAGAGCCTGGTGCTCGACAGGCCCCGTGTCCGCAAGCAGACCAAGCACTACAATTCCTTCGAGGAGGACGAGCTGATGGAGTTCTCGGAGCTGGACAGCGACTCCGACGAGCGGCCCACGCGCTCCCGGCGCCTCAACGAGAAGACGCGGCGCTACCTGCGGGCCGAGTGCTTCCGCGTGGAGAAGAACCTGCTCATCTTCGGGTGGGTGGGGCCTGTGCTGCTGCAGGCTGCAAGCAGACCAAGCACTACAATTCCTTCGAGGAGGACGAGCTGATGGAGTTCTCGGAGCTGGACAGCGACTCCGACGAGCGGCCCACGCGCTCCCGGCGCCTCAACGAGAAGACGCGGCGCTACCTGCGGGCCGAGTGCTTCCGCGTGGAGAAGAACCTGCTCATCTTCGGGTGGGTGGGGCCTGTGCTGCTGCAGGCTGAGCGCGGCTCCTTTCCCGCCTCTGCCACTGGCCTGTGCGATGCTGGGTGACTCCCCGCCGGGCTCTGGGCCTCTGCTGAGCCATGTCCTTGCTGCAGGGCACTGGGCGTGCGGCCAGTGGGGCTTCATGGGGCGCCTTTCTCCTGCAGCTGGGGGCGCTGGAAGGACATCCTCGCGCACGGCCGCTTCAAGTGGCACCTGAACGAGACGGACATGGAGATGATTTGCCGGGCTCTCCTCGTCTATTGCGTCAAACACTACAAGGGGGACGAGAAGATCAAGAGTTTTATCTGGGATCTGATCACCCCTACAAAGGACGGCCAGAACCAGGCCCTGCAGAACCACTCAGGTACCCTCTGCCTTTCCGCCTGGCACCGGGAATCACTCGGCCCCGCAGGCTCCCACCCCAGCAACGCAGCTGGGTCCCTAGCAAAGGGGCCTCTCCGAATCACTCCGGCAGCTCCAGGGGAGGCCTCTGCTCCGGGAGGCAGGGCCTGTGGCTGGCCAGGCTGGCTGAGGGGAGCCGCTGGGGGGACGGGGAGGAAGCCGGGAGAGTTGGGGCTCTCCAGGTTAGAGGCCCTTGGAGATCCCAAGGGACCAGGCTGGGCCAGGCTGCTCTGGTGGCCCTGCCCCAAGTGTAAGGCTGCAGCAGAGGCGCTGGCAGGGGCCACGGACACAGATCCCAGCGTGGTGTGTGGGCCCTGCTCTCGGCTCCATCAGGAGGCTGGAGTCGGCTGGCGGGGCCCGCCAGGAGCCA